CAGCAAGTTACAAATGTCACGTCTACGGTGCCTCGTTTGCGTGGATAACTACAATATTTACCTGGGCATTGACTTTGCTAGCTTTGGACAATATATTGAGTTTCTCATATTGGACAGTTGCAACTAGCAGTGTCATGGTTTTATGTTTGATCACAATCTGCGTGTCTTATCTGACGATCCGCACAAGACTTAGCCTCAGAGTTCCTTCCATGGATACCACACATAAGAAACAAAAAGAAGCGCAACAGAACGCAAAACTCTCAAGGACTCTGTTTATTGTGATAACTGCATCTCTCTTCTTTTGGATTCCGAGTATAGTGGTTTACGCCACTCATTATCTCTGTTTCAAGTGTGTTCCATTGCTTTTATTTTACGGCTTTAACCTCTTTCGTTTGGCCAATTCTCTCGTAAATCCTATCATTTACAGCTATAGAATTCCCATGTTTAGGGAAATGTTTAAGCGCAAAAAGCTCTGCATGCGGTCAAAAAGATATACAGTTAATTATATGCGTTGATATTGTGGTAGAACTGAAAGAGTTGTCATAAATGCTCTGTGAAGCAGATATAGGCCAAAAAAAAAATGTAATGTGCGATAATCGTAATTAGCATATGTAATTTAATGATATTTAGCTCTCATGGAGCAACAGACTGGGTTCTATTAGAGCAAGCGAAAGGGCGCGGTTAAGGCATTTGAAAATCCACGGTTAATCGAGATGGAAATTTTCAAAATCAGGTCCATTTGAAGAAATTCCAAGACTTGCTTTTGCAAAGTTTTCCATAATGATTTCTAGATGAAAGGAAGTTGGTTGCTAAAGTTCTACGGGGAAGAGGAACCTAATGTTTACGTCAGCATCCTCCAAAGGAGAAAATTTTCGTAGGATTAGCTGTTATTGCTGCTATTGCAGTTGAGCCTTGAAGAACAAAGAATTGCCTCTTGTTTTACTGCAAATCAGTAGATCTCGGAATGCTTACATATCCATAATAGCAGACAGAAAATATTCCATGGGCCTTTTTCCATTTCTGATGATCGTTCATTCAAGTGCTGATCAGTTGCGGTCAAGCAAACCATAACGTAACGAGATTCGGATTAAAATTCTTTTTCCAAAGCGGCCATGCGATGTTCTGTTTATTGTATTGATAATGACGAAACATCCAAATCTAAGAAATCTCAGTTTCTTTACTCATTTAAAAAGCATAGAAAAAATGGTCACCTCAATTGAGGTCAGGAATGTAATCCAAAATGTGTAAATAAGATATTTCCGGTATTTTATCAATATCTAGATACGGTGGCGAGAAGATATAAATTTTATGTTCGAGTGGCAAGAACAATATATTGGTCTTGCCACGAGAGCATAAAATTCATATCTTTGAGCTAACGTGTAATGTTCTTTTTATTATATAGACATACAGATGATGGGGTTCTTGACGATTTACGACCACTTTCCGAAGATTTCCAAAAATTCTCCAAAACTTGTCCGAAGGTCACACGAACTTTGCCGAACATTTTTCGAAAATGACTGAAGATTTCCGAAGATTGCCGAAGACTTTCGAAGAAGACCCGACGATGTTTCGATCATACGCCTACGAATTTAAGTACAATTTAAGAGACGAACTTGTTACCAGTGAAATCATCGATATCTTCACTAGTGAGGATATGGCAAATACGCCACCCAAGTCCCGGATGTGGTTTCATATGAATTTTACGTGTCGTGTATTTTCCAGTATAACACTTGTGTCTATATAACAAATAACACTAGCGTGCAACAAACCAAATAAGTTTCCTTATGGAGCCACCTTAAATAATGATTTTAGTGGTACTATAGAATATCTTCTAGCAAGGAACACCTCAACTACCAATACTGACTAAATTTGTTAAAACCCAACCTTAATTTAGAAGAATACATCAGAGAAAGCGCATGTCATGAATAGGGCATTTCCTATCCGTAAATGATTAAAAGTGCGCCATGTACATATTTACTTTTACAAGACAATCACAACAGCAGGGTGTAAGAACGAAATCGCAAACTGATCTTGCTGTTAGCGAAATGTTTTTTTAGATGTTAATTTAAACCTGCAATTCGCAATACTATTGGTAGTCGTAGATTGATTTTCTGATGTGAAGTTTTTATTTCGTCCTGTTGTATTATAAACAATACAAGCTCTGACACTGAATACATCTGTCATACAGCGGGCCGAGTGACAAGTCACAACTGGCTTTCCACTTCGAAGATCGGCCAGACTGAACTCAATTTTCAAAAACACGAGAAACACCTTCAGTCAAATACCAGGCCAGTTCAAAGGAACTATCATGTACAATGCAGATATTATAATTGCACTTTTATTTGCTGCCATACTCGAGTCTGTGATTATCATTGTTGGCAACGTTTTTGCCATTTTCGTGTTTTGGAAGCATCGCAACAAACTCAAGCGAGCTTCATTTCTTCTTATCAACTTAGCTGTTACAGATCTGCTTGTTGGATTCACGGAGTCAATAGCGTTAGGACCCTTTGATATCCTGGAACATCTTAAAGAAACAAGCTTCAACAACGCTCGCAACACAAATATTTCAACCGCTTTTCAAGTAGCTTTTTCTTGTGCGTCAGTATTTTTCCTGACACTCATCTCTCTGGAACGGGCATATGCTTTGATTTGGCCGCTCCGTCATCGAGTAGCAAGTACAAAAGGCTACATTTACAGTGCCACGTTTGCATGGATAGCAGCAATATCTGCAGGGATATTGACGTTGCTAGCTGTATACGACATATTGGATTTCGCACAATGGATACTTGCATTCGGCTCTGTCATGGTTTTATGTGTTGTCACAATCTGCGTGTCTTATCTGATAATCCGAAAAAGACTTAATTGCAGAGTTCCTGCCATAGATGGTGCTCATAACAGACAAAATGAACCGCAGCAGAACGCGAGACTCTCTAGGACTCTGTTTATTATGATAACTGCATCTCTTCTCTTTTGGATTCCAAGCATCGTAATTTATAGTACTCACTATCTCTGCTTCAGATGTGTTCCACTACTTGTATTGCATATTTTTAACCTCTTTCGTTTGGCTAATTCTCTGGTAAATCCCATCATTTACAGTTTTAGAATTCCCATGTTTAGGGAAACATTTAAACGACTGAAACTCTGCAAAGAAATATACAATTAATTATTCGCCTTAAAACTTGATCGAACACAGCAACGGAACATTTCTGCCTTGTCTCCAGGCGTCCCTCGTTGGTTTGAACGCAGTGCGCATGGAGTTATGGGCCTGTTGCTAACGATCAAGCAGCGCGCTCCCATATGCAAAGACGCCTGATGACGATGCAGATTCTATGTCACGGTCAGAAGTAGTTAATCGCGTACAGAGGCAAAACTCTGAAAATGTGATATCATCCTCTTTTAATAGCGTTAGGTACATTTTATCTTCCTCGGCATCTTAGAGAATCAAGCTTTAACAAAACTAGCAATGGAAACATTTTTTCCACTTTTCTAGCCACTTTTTCTTTCACGTCAGTATTTTTTCTCGTACTCATCTCTCTGGAACGTGCGTATGCTTTGATTTGACCGCCCCACCATCGAACAGCAAGATTCCAAATGTTACATTTACGGTGTCTCGCTTGCGTGAATAAATACAATATTTGCCTGGACAATAACGTTGCTGGCTTCGCACGATATGTTGGATTTCTCATATTGGACAGTTGCAAGTACCTGTGTCACGGTTTGAAGTTTGATCACAATCTGCGTGTCTTATCTGACGATCCGTACAAGACTTAGTTTCAGAGGTCCTGCCATGGATGCGACTCATACCAAGGAAAATGAGTCGCAACAGAATGCGAAACTCTCTAGAACTCTGTTTATTGTGATAACTGCATCTCTTTTCTTTTGGATTCCAAGTATAGTGGTTTACGCCACTTATTATCTTTGTTCTAAGTGTGTTCCATTGTTTTTATTTTACGGCTTTAACATGTTTCGTTTGGCTAATTCTCTTTTAAATCCTATCACTTACAGCTATAGAATTCCCATGTTTAGAGAAATGTTTAAACGAGGAAAGCTCTGCAACCGTCAAAGGATATAAAGTGAATTATATGGGTTGATATTTTAGTAGAACTGAAAAAAAAATCCTAAAAAAGGTTCTTATTAACATATATAAATTAACATTTTGGCTTTACGGAGCAAAAGACTGGGTTCTGGCATGACAAGCGAGAGGTCGTGGTTAACGAGTTTGTAAAACGCAACGGTTGATCGAGATGTAATATATCAAACACGAAAAACCGTGTTTCACCACATTTTGGAAACACCGAGAAGAGAGTTCAAAATAACGACGCGTAGCGGGGTATGTTTGACGAACTTCGAAGTGTTTGGAAATTTGGTATTTAGTGTTTGGTATTTCTTCTCAATAGAAACTAAAAGTAAGAAGTAAACGGAGAAATAAAATCGTCAAAATGTATGCTAATTGGATCAGATATATCCAAACACTGCTACGGTCATGATTTCCTTTGTTTAAACTTAATGAATTATTAATGAGTTTAAGAATAAAATTTTCAAAAATCAGGACAATTTGAAGCAACTCCTGGCCCTGGCTTATGCAAAGTTTTCTATAATGATTTTTTCGATGAAAGGAAGTTGATGCTAAAAGTCTATGGAGTAGAGGAACCAAATTTTTAGGTCAATATCTTCCAAAAGCGAACATTGCCATGGGAATAGCTGTTGTTGCAATTGAGTCTGTGGTCAAATATTCCTTTGTTTGAAAAGGCGCACGAAAGAAAGAGTCAATTCAAAACAGAATGGACCCTTTGGCCTCATTTGTATGTCAAACCACTGATAACTGCAATAACAGCTGTTTGAATGTTTAAGATGTCACAGAAAATGCCATAAACCAGTGGCGGATCCAGACCTTGAGCTAAGAGGGGACCCGGTTTTGTTGTTGTTGTTGTTGTTGTTGTTGTTTCTTTTTTTTTCTTTCTTTTTTTTTTTTTTGGCTTGCCCTGCCGGCTTTTCTTTCTTCTACGATTCTTTTTTACCGAAAGTAAGGGGGGGGGGAGGCGGACCCCCGTCCCCCTCCCCTAGATTCGCCACCGTAAACAACAAAGAATTGCCTCTTGTTTTATTACAAATCAGAAGATTTTGGATGCTAAGATATCCATGGTAGCAAACAGACAAAATTCGATTGGGCCTTTTTCCATTTCTGATGATCTTTCATTCGAGTGCTGATCCGGTCAACAATAGGCAAACAATAAGCAAACAATAACTTGACGAGAATTAAATTTGGATTAAAATTCTTATCCCAAGCCGTCATGCAATGTTCTGTTTGTGATATGGATATTGACAAAACATCCAAATCTTTGGCATCTCAGTTTCTTCAATCATTTTAACAGCACCAAAACGTTGGTCACCTTATCTGAGGACAAGAATTGTAATCGAAAATGTGCAAGTAAGATGTTTGCGGTATTTCATCAATATCTATATAATATATAACACTAGCGCGCAACGCAACAAATAAGTTTCCCTATTGAGCCACCTTAAATAATGATTTTAGTTGTGCTATAGAATGTCTTCAAGTGTGGAACACTTCTACAGCCAATACTGGCTAAATTTGTTAACACTCAACCTCAATTTAGATTAGTACATCGGAGAAAATACATCGTGTCATGAACAGAGGATTTCCTATTCGTTAAGTATTAAGAGCACGCCATGTACATATTTACTTTTACAAAACAATCATAACAGCTGGGTGTAGGGAAAGAAATCGCAAACTGATCTTGCTGAGGACTCAACCTTTTGTTAGATGCGTTAATTAAAAATTGCAACTCGCAATACTACTGGTAGTCGAAGATTGGTTTTCTGACGTGAAGTTTTTATTTTATCCTGTTGTATGATAAACAGTGCAAGCTCTAACACTGAATACATCCGAAATATAGCGGGCTGAGCGAAGCGTCACGACTGATGATTCCGACAGGATGGCAATGACTTGAAAACCGACCAAACTGGACTAAAATCGCGAAAGAACACTAGAAACACTTTCAGCTAAGTACCAGGCCAGTTCATGCAAACTATCATGCACAATTCAACTATTATAATTGCACTTTCATTTGCTGCCATAATCGAGTCCTTGATCATCATTGTTGGCAACATTTTCACCATATTCGTTTTTTGGAAGAATCGCAGCAGACTCAAGCGAACTTCCTTTCTCCTTATCAACTTAACTGTTGCTGATCTGTTTGTTGGATTCACAGAACCAATAGCGTCAGGACCCTTTGATATTGCGGGGCATCTTGAAGAAACAAGCGTTAACATTGCTCGCAATACAAATATTTCAACCGCTTTTCAAGTAACTTTTTCTTTTACGTCAGTATTTTTTCTCGCACTTATATCTCTGGAACGTGCATATGCTTTGATTTGGCCTTTCCGACATCGAGTAGCAAGTACTAAAGGTTACATTTACAGTGCCATTTTTGCGTGGGTAGCTGGATTATCTGCAGGGACATTGGCTTTGCTGGCTGTATACAACATTCTGGATTTCTTCCACTGGATAGCTGCGTTCGGTTTTGTCTTGGTTTTGTGTTTGGTCACGATCTGTGTGTCTTATCTGGCAATCCGAACAAGACTTAATTGCAGAGTTCCTGTCATCAATGGCCCTCATAACAGACAAAATGAACAGCAACAGAACGCGAAACTCGCTAGGACTCTGTTTCTTGTGATAACTGCATCTCTTCTCTTTTGGGTTCCAAGCATCGTAGTTTACTGCATTCACTATCGCTGTTCAAAGTGCCTTCCACTACTTGTATTTCGCAGTTGCAACCTCTTTCGTTTGGCCAATTCTCTCGTAAATCCTATCATTTATAGTTTTAGAATTCCCATGTTCAGGGAAACATTTAAACGAGTGAAACTCTGCAAGCAGTCGAAGAAATATACAATCAATTTATATACGCCTTGAACTTGATTAAAGACAGCAACTCATCTTCTGAGGGGCACCGAAACAGACACAAGCGAGCGTTTGTCAACATTTTGGATTTACCGAATTGTTTTTGATTGAAACATTTACATTGCCACGCAAAATATTAATTAGGTTGACCATTTGACTCTAGGGACGGTGTGGGTGATTCGCTAAAGGCGTGATATTTCTTAACCCTTTCATGTACTAGGAATCTTTTTTCTCGGGACCTGTATGCATGACACTTTTTTTTATTTACGGCTCACTAAACGAGCGTGAATTTTTTTTTTTCGCAGTGGTCGTGTGGATGATTTGTTTTACAAGTATGCCCCCCTTAAAAGTCATATGTTCCACCCTCTGGCAATCCGAAAAACGACTTAATGGTAGATACTCCTCATAAATAGATAAAATGGGTTGCACTATGTAGCTATAACACGATACTCTCAAAATAAATAGAAATAATATGCGAAGTGAAAAAGTGCATTTAATAGCAGCAACTAGGAGGTACAAGTTCAAAATTAATTAAAGTGCTTGACTATTTAAGAAGAACACATTGTTTTCATCAGGTTTACATATTCCTTAGTTTGATTACGATTATGTAGTTCTTCTAGTGTTTTATTTTTTTAGTTATGCTGAATAATTGCACTTCGAACTTCACGCTTGCTAGCAGCCTCGGGAAAATCATAAGTTACATGACCAGCTGCATTTGCCACCTGAGCCGAGAGGCCAGGTAGGATAGCAGATACATCGGCAGCTTGAGCACCATGATGGACATGCGCCAAAACAACCTTTTCCACCTAATGAAAGATAAAATAATTACAATTAATGAATGGCCACGAAATGTACAGTGCACAAAACTGATTTAGTATATTAGAAGAAAGAGGAGGCTGGAGGGAGTTTTAACTGTGAGCAGTGCAATAAATTAAAGTCGATGTATATATATATTTAAATTAATTAATTATGCTTTCGTCGTCGTCGACCTTCTCCTCCTCCTCTATATTATCATCATCATCATCATTAATTTTCAATTTACAGTCCAGTGCAAATTAACTAAAAGCAATCATTTAATAAATGTGTAACCGTATGAAAGCTCGGACAATTAAGGAGCTACGCTGCTCGTGATATTTGAGACTTCTTTTAAATTGCACTGACCTCACTTTCCCT